TGATAGAACACTGAACATTTTGGCAGTCACATACATCTGCCTTATGCATTCCTTAATTATTCTTCTCTCTTCCTTAACAATTGAATTTGACTCATCAACTAGGGTCGTAACATGGGCTAAATGAAATATTGAGTAATTGAACTCAATTTAAATGAAATATGCCACTGCATCCCATGCATTCCACTTACTTCGATGAACACCTTTAGTTACTTCATATCACAAAGAGTTTAGTTCTTCTGCAAAACTTCATTTCAACAATAATGCAAGTTCCTAAATTGAAGATTCCCAATGTCCAACCCTTCAAAAGTTCTAGATCTGCAACACACCTCCCATTTTCACCAGGTGTCTCTCCTCTCCTCGCTATTCCCTGCCCCATAAAAAATTCCTCATCACACTCTTTAAACGCTCAATCACACTAATGGAGACCTTAAACAAAGACATTTAGTAAATACGGATGCTAGACAAACAAGCCTTAATAAGAGTGACCCTACCTCCCAGCGAGACCCCCTTTCCATCTCTATAAGTGCCTAAAACACTTTACTAACCATCTCCTCCCAAAACGACTTACACCTAGGATTACCACCCAAAGAAACGTCAAGGTATGTAATAGGCCAAGTTAGGGTCACGCATCCAATTGTGTTAGCTACATTATTTATGTGTTATCGGGCATATCAATACCTACCACCCCACATTTTACCATGTTAATGCAAAGTTCAAATATATGCTCAAACACCATAACCAACGTTGAGTGCATTAGAGATAGACTTATTATCATGTGATAGGAATAAAATTGTTTCATCCGTAAATTGGAGGGTGAGACACCTCAATTTTGTCATTCCCAACAAATGTGAACGGATGCATTCAACAAGAAGTAAGTAGCACATTCTCTCTCTCTCTAAAATCCTCTTTCTTATTTCTACCAAAATGTTCTCACCGAAGCTTATTTTTCTTCAAGATCATCCGCCCAAGAACCCTCATATCGTCCCAGTGAATACTCATGGCATTTGGGGTCCCATGGCTACTAATTTGTTACTGAAGAACCCCAAAAGATTTGTTCTCATTTGGTGTCCCATGACATAACGTGTGATAGAAAAAACTTCGATGGTATTCGAATCAGTGAAAATGGCAGAGGTAATGGAGTTTCCATCACACTGAGCAAAGAAGAAGTCAAATAGATTATCGCAGCACTGAGCGATTTCTACTGGCAAAAGGTGGTAAATCTTGGGGCAAAAACATAAAAGGCCAACACCACCACCTTTTCTTCGTCATGATTTGGAATCGAAAGGGCAAATGCTTGGTAATGTCGGAGGAAAGAGAAAAAACGGTCAAAAGAATTTTCATTCCTGATGGTTTTGAGGCTGGTGGCGCTTCTTGAATGCGATTTTTGACCTTACAGAAACTTCGTTGGTGAATCCCTTTAAAAAATTGGGGGCCTCTAAACATTTCCCGATTCGCCCAGCTCTAGAGATTTCTACATACAATCCGGAGTCCCTCCGCTGCCTAAATTGCAATCATAGTCTCCATATCGCCCTATCGTCGATGGGGGAAATATCTTATGTGACAGCTCTGAAAAACCTTAGATTGACTCTAGCCCGGTATGCGAGCCCCTACCCGACCCGGTTATTTCTAACCCGCGATTTGAATTTCAAAATCCCACCAAAGTTAGAGTCATTTCTACTAACAGATTCGAGCCACTAAGCAAGTTGATCCAAAAGGACAGTGACTCAAGCGGACCTAGAGGTCAACATAAAAGGTCCAGGCTCACTTGGGCTGAGAAAGGCAAGTGGACAAATCAGGCCAGCCCAAGCAAAGTGATTAAGAAGAAAAACAGCCCAACGAAAAAAGCTCAAATAGTTAAATTGCTATGGAGACAAAAAAAATGACATGAGTCCGACATATGAGAAAGTTCAGAATGTACTACCTGAGTCTATTACCCCTCAGGACCAAATTCCTACTCCAGTCAAGGGTTTTGCTTGGGACAGAAATAACACTCATCCTGGTGAGATGGAGCGCGATATGGCAGCTGTAGAAATTTCTACAAATGATTGATTTTCATAAACGACTTCTCCTTCAAGCCCTACCATGAGTCTAGCTGAAGAATCTTTTTATGGTTCGGCCTTAGACCTGATGGTCTTACCTTCGGAACCTGAACAGTTGCCAATCAGTAATGTTCAAATTGACAAAGAGAATGAATTGGCTGAGATAATAGCATCAGTGGATCGGATTCCGTAGGACAATCAAAGGTATGACCCTCAACTCTATTTTGAGTGGATCCTTCAAAATATTTTTTGTATCAGCGAACTTCTGTGCTCTTCTTTTCTTGGGTTTGAGCTGGAAACGAAATTCCTTTCCATGAAACTGGAGAAAAGATTAAATGTTAGTAGAAAAGTCTACCTGATTTCGAATACGGGCAAGAAAAAGCAATCCAACGGAGGTTCAAAGAAACTTAAGAAGCTTCAATCTTCCATAAACTATGAGGGGCGAAACATTAAGAGCAAAGGAGCAAGGAATCATCAAGAATTACATAAATGTTGAACAAAATACTATCCAGGAATGTCAGGGGCCTTCATGACCAGGGAAAAAGAGGTATTATTAGAAGATGCATCAACAGATAGAAACCGTCAATCATCAGCATTCAAGAAACAAAAATGAAAATAATCTCAGAAAAGATCATCAATAGCCTGTGCGGAGTGATGATATTGGGTGGAGGAAAGATAGAGTGAGCTGCATAAATACTCATGCCGGTAAGATTACTCTTTTTTGTATCTTTAGCAATCTGAATAATGATGATCCTTGGTTCTATTCAGGTGTATACTGCAAAGGAAATTCCAATGAATGCACTCTGTTGGGGAATGAACTTGAGTAAATCAAGAATATTTGGGGTAACAGAGGCATTTTGGGGGAGGGGGGGGGGGGCAGAGAGATTTTAATATGATTCTGAACAAATCTGAACGCAGTGGTAGTGGCTCAAATGATTCCAAAATTGACAAATTCTGGTCTCTTATTGACAGACTTGATCTTAACGACTTACCATTAAATGGAGGTAGGTGGACATGGAGTAACCAGATGGAGCAAGCTTCTTTCTCTATAATTGACAGATTTTTAATCACATCCGATCTGTTGTTAGTCACCCCTGATATCGATAAAAAAAATTTACCTAAGCCCATTTCTGACGACCTCCCTATCCTTCTGGCATTGGATGGCATTCAATGGGGCCCTATCTCCATTCGTCTTGACAACAAGTGGTTACAGCTTGACAGCTTCAAATCCATGGTGACAAATTGTTAGAACTCCTCGCAGGTCAGTGGCACCTTTAGTTACAGACTTGCATATAAATTCAAAAGACTAAAACAAGAGATTAAAACTTGGGCTAAAGTCACGAGTAAGAAGGAAGAAAAATATGTAAATGACATTATGCAGGAGATTGATTTGCTTGACAGGAAGGAAGAAACTTCTGTGCTTTCCCAGATTGACAAGGGAAAGAGGAATGAGCTCATGACTGATTTGGCTAAATGTCTTCAGATGGAAGCCACCTCCTGGAAGCAAAAGTCCAGGAAAAAATGGAGCAAAGAGGGTGATAAAAATCTAAATATTTTCATTTGTTAGCTAACCACAGAAGACAGGTTAATTTTGTGGAA